CCGTGGCAGAGACTGGGGTGGCGTGGGGCTACGTGGGCATCACCAGAGGGGACTTGACTCCTCTTATCAGCAAGGAGCTTGCTTTGATCAGGCTCCAACCCCATTGCCCAGCCCCTGCCCTGTGGCCCCCAAACCTGGTATGCCCCTGGTCCAGGCTGATTATTCTCTCTATAAACAACCCCCGGGAAGGGCAGAGTCACTGGAGCTACAGGCCAATGGGACTGGACTCGGTGACCCAGGATTTCCTTGCTGCCTGACGTCCTATGGCCGTGTCCCTCAGGGAAGGAGCAGGGCTGGCCTCAGTCCACTGTCATTGACTCGCTGGGCTGGGCACAGGCTGGCACCTGGGTTCCTGCGTAGGATTGCCAGGGTGCAGGGCACAGAGGGGCAGGCAGTGCCCCCCACTTGGCACCCGATATCCCTCGCATCCCCGGAGAGGCTTCAGCTCACACATACCGAGGGGCTTCCCAGTCGGCGTCGGGGGTGGGGAACATGGCAGCCGCCGAATCGCTGCTGTCTGGATGCCGGGGCTCTGGGCGTGTGTGCCATGCAGCCCACGCTCTTTGCCTTGGTCATGCTGGTGAGACGGGGTGAGCTCTCTGGGGGAGCAGAGGGTGCAGCTCCCCCACACCTGGGGGATGGACACTGGGGCCTGGCTGTCAGCTGGGGATGGAGCCGTGGCCTGCTCTGGTTCTCCAGTGCCGGGCTGGCCCCACTCAGCAGGTGCCCCGCGAGGGGTTTGGGTGGGAGCCGGGCACTGGGGCCTGGGCACTGGGAAGGTGAACTCTGCCTCTCTGTGTTTCAGGGTCACTGGTGGGGAGCTCTTTGAAGACATCGTGGCCCGGGAATATTACAGCGAAGCCGATGCCAGGTGAGTGGCAACTCCCCACCCCGCCTTTTCCCCTCCGCCCTTCTCCCCTTCCCTCCCCCGCTTCTTTCTGTTCCCTGATCCCATGCCAGCTGTATCCGTCAACATTAACCTATTCATGACCTGGACAGAGCCGGGGGGACCCCAGAGATATCGCCAGGTGATAGCCAAGTTCCTATGCCTTTGGCACTGCCGTGCCACGTGTCCTGCTGTCACATCCAGCGCTGGGTCCCTCTGCTGTGGGTCAGTTCACAGGGCCCCTCAGCCGGCCTGGGCCTGAAAACAGGTGCCTACCCCATGCTCCCTGAGGACGAGGAGGAGAGTTGCGGCAACTCTCCCTCTGGGGCTCAGCTGGCTTCTGGGGCGCAGCCAGAGAGGCAGAGGGGTGGTGGGACCCGGGGCGTTTTTGCTTCCCCTCTGGGGAGCTGTTCACGGGGGGTTCAGGTCGTCAGTGGGACAAGTCTGGTCTTAGCCTAGTCCCTTAGGGAGCACTCACAAAGCCACCACACAGCTGGGTGCGGTTGCCAGCCATGCACCGGGGGCCAGGGCTGCTGTAGGTGCGTTGGCACAGCAGCAGGGGAGGGGGCGTTCTGGATCAGAGCCAAGGGGTTGGGCTGGGGAAGAGGGCTCAGGACCGGACGAACTACTGGTGAGGCTCTGGCAGAGCTGTGGGGCAAGGCCAGGCGGGATGTAGGGGCGCTCAGAGTGGGCAGGGGAGCACTGAGCTGCAGTACTGGAGTAGGGGTCTGTCCCAGAGCGGGAAGGGTGCAGCGTCCCTCCCTCTGGCCCCAGCCTGGCTGTTGGGGCCCGGCAACTGGGAGGACACTGACCCTCCCACAAGCATCTGGAGTCAGTGGGGCGTGTCTCAGCCATCGGGGAGCAGCGGGCACAAAGCAGCAACCTGGTAGAGAGCGTGGGGGACTGGGAACAAACTGGAGGGACAGGGCGCGTCTGAGGGCAGCCGCAGGACTTGGGGGCATCGCTGACAGGGACCTGAGCGGTGGGTTCCCTGCAGGGCCAGAGGCACTGGTGACTGGTCACGAGTGGGCTCGGCCGGTGATGTGCACGTTCCTGGTCCTGTCCGACTGGAGCGCACTGGCCCCCTCCCACCATGTGCTGGTCCCCAGCATCTCGCTGTTCGTTGCTTGTCATCTCCCCAGCCAGCCCCCTTGTGAACAGGCCGGGGGGACCCTGGGCCGGGCAGGCACTGGGACCGTGCCAGAGGAGGTCTGATGTCCGTCACGCTTTTCAGGCTCAGACGGTTCCCAGCTGCAGGGACCTGGCCAAGCTGGGCTCTAGGTAATGACCTCACACGCCGCCCTGTCTCGGCAATTCTGGGGAGACCCGGGCTCAGGGCCCCTCCTCATGCAGCTTCATTGCCGTCCCGGGCGTCTGATGCTTTCCTCAGGAGGGGGATGTGGCCTAGGACAGCGGGCAGGCATCAGATCAGGATTGAGGGGCTGTGGCAGAGCTATATGTGTGGGGAGCCCGGGGCTGGGATAGCAAGGGGCTGTGGGTCAGGATTGAGGGGCAGCGGCAGAACTCTGTGTGGGGAGAGCCCAGGGCTGGGCTAATGGGGTGGGGGCTGGTGGCAGGTGCTAATCAGTTTCCCTCTCCATGCAGCTCCCGCCTCCCCCATCCCTGGGCTGTCAGTGGTGGGAGCTCCCTGCCAGGGGAGCCCGTGTGGGGCAGCCCCATGGGTTAGATCTCTCCCATGGCATTCAGCTACTCAGGCCTGTCCCTGCTGCGTTTGCTGACAGCCGGGGGGAGGGGGGGAGGAGAACCCCAGGGGTTTCCAGCTCCCAAGTTCTACCCATTAGTTCATGCCGCCTCTATTAAGGCTCCTCATTGCCCCAGCATCCCAGAGGCACTGCCCTAGCCTTGTAGCTCAGCTTGCTTTGCGGGTGGCAGGGGAGGAGGCTCGGGGTTGATTTGTGATCCGGCAGGGCAGCGGGGAGCTGCCCCCAAGAGGCTATTTCTGCAGATTCACTCCCCTGCCCATCGCCCCCTGTTCACCAGAGAGCTTCCAACCCCATGTGAGGCCCTGCCCTGCACTCTTGTGGCCTCCCCCTGCCTCAGGGGGCGCTCTCAGACTGTATTCTGGCCCTCTGGGCACCCGCCCAAACCCCTGCGGGTGGGGGCCTGCTCCAAGCATCAGGCTGCGGCAAAGGGAGGCAGAATCCAGGCAGGATGTCCCAGTGGCCTCCACCCACTCCTGGTGTTCCCCTGAGGTGCAGTGAGGCCAGGCTGGGATGGAGCCGTGGGACTTTCTCCCCGCGGAGAGCCCAGCTCCTCCCGGTGAGTCCACAGTTGGGGCCTTCCCCTTTCCATGGCATGGCTCTGTGGAGCGGTGGCTTCCTGCGGCTGCGATCCAGAGAGCACCCCCAGATCCCACCCCCATGCATGCCGAGGGCTCCCCTCCTCTGCCCTCGCCAGCAGCGCAGCCCAGTGGAACAGACCAGGAGGCTCTTGGTCCGTATCAAACCAGCCCGATGGGGCGCTATGGGCAATATCCGCTCCTCAGAGGCCCAGGACTGGAATGGAGGGGCACAGACAGAGCTGAAGCCAGGTTGCCCAGACTGGAATAGCAGGGAGAGCCACTGGGCCGGACTGAGGTACATGAACAGAGCGGTGTGGTGCCAGTTAGGAATAGCAGCCGGGGCTGTGGGTTGGGGTTGAGGGGCACTGGCGGAGGTGGGGAGCACAGGGCTGGGACCGCAGGGGCTGTGGATCAGTGAGGAGAGCTTGAACCTGGGGCTCGTTGTTGTTGGTTGGGGGAGGGGGCAGGAGCTGGGCCTAAGTGCTAGGGCCCCACGCAGGACTTGTGGAGCTGGGATTCCTTTCCCCTTACTTAGCACTGGCAGAGCTGCGGGGAGCTGAGGGCTGGGATAGCAGGGGCTGTGGGTTGGGAGTGAGGGGCACTGGCAGAACTAGGGGGGAACCGAGGGCTGGGATAGCAGGGGCTGTGGGTCTGAGTGAGGGGCACTGGCAGAGCTGGGGGGAACCGAGGACTGGGATAGCAGGGGCTGTAGGTCAGGAGTGAGGGGCACTGGCAGAGCTGGGGGGGAGCCGAGGGCTGGGCTAGCAGGGGCTGTGGGTCTGAGTGAGGGGCACCAGCAGAGCTGTGGGGGGGAGCCGAGGGCTGGGATAGCAGGGGCTGTGGGTCGGGAGTGAGGGGCACCCGTAGAGCTGGGGGGGGGACCCGAGGGCTAGGATAGCAGGGGCTGCGGGTCGGGAGTGAGGGGCACCAGCAGGGCTGGGCTAACAGTGGCTGTGGGTCGGCGTGAGGGGCACCGCTGAGCTGTGATGGGGAGCCCGGGCTGGGACAGCGGGGCCGCGGTGGGTCAGGATCAAAGGGCATTGGTAGAGATGTTGGGGGCCGTGCTAGCAGACCAGGCTGTAGGGGCATAGAGAGAGCTGCTATTTTGGGGGGGGGTGCGCAGCCCCAGCCCGCACGACCCCTGACTAGATAGTGGGGTCACTCTGCCAGGTCATCCATTCCCAAAGCCCCAAGACGGTGACCCTCCTCCCACAGCACCTGCAGCCCGTTCCCTGCTCCGCGCTCGTTCTGGGGCTGCTGCGCCGGACTCGGCCCTGCCAGCCGGGGGCTCTGCTCACCCACTCTGCCCTCCGCACCTTGGGTCCCAACCGTCCTCTCGGGGGGCTGCCCCCTCCCTCCCTCCGGCCCTGGCAGCCTGCAGTTCCTGGTGCCATTAACAGCCATCCCTGCACACCTTGTGATAACCCCCTGTGGTCTCAGAGCTTTCACAACATTGTTTCTCTCTCTCCTTCTCTCGTCCCCCATCTCCACCCTGTCCCCCCCCCGTCCCTCTTTGTCTGTCCATCTGTCCCTCTGGATCCCCCCCACCCCGCCCCCGTTCCCTCTACCTGCTTATCCCGCCTCCGGAATTCGTTCCCTTTCATGCATTATTTCTGTTTCCTTCTGTACATTTGATCGTCTCTCTCACGCCCTTCCTATGCCCCCCTCCCCCACCCCTCTCCTCATCGGGACCCTGCCCTGCCCGTCTCCCATGTCTGCCCCCTTCGCCGCTCTCCCCATCCCCCTCTCCCGCCCCTCCCTGACCCACTTTCTCTCTCCCTTCCTCCCCGTTTTGTTTTGCAGTCACTGTATCCATCAGCTATTAGAAAGCGTAACTTACATGCACCACTATGCCATTGTGCACAGGGACTTGAAGGTCAGTATATGCCTTTCGCCCTCTCCTGGCGTCGGGCTGGGGGTGCTGGCGCCGCCCAGCGCTCACACGCCCCCCTCCCCTCCCCTCCCCGCTAGCTGCTTTTGATTTTTGGGGGGTGGGGAGGGAGACGATATCCAGCGCTGGGGGCGTTTTTTTAGTTCGATTCTCAGCGTGCCCGGCCGAGTCCTTCCTGCGGCTGGGCAGGGCAGGCAAGTCTGAGGCCCTGGACAGGAGGCAGCGCCCGGATGCAGACGTCCTGCCCCGACTCCAGCACACGTGGGACCAGACACCAGCCCCCCTCCCCTCCCCCGACAGTAATTTGAAATCTCAACCGGGCGGCTTGATTCAATTCGCATTTCACTGTCTCATCCCCCTCTCCCCTGCCCCCCTCCCTCTCTTTCTCTCTCTCTCTCTCTCCCTCCCACCCCCCCCGCCTCTTTCGCGTCTCTTGTCTTGTTTGCCACCCCTTACCCTGCCCCCGCATGGCTGTCAGTTCTGTCTCCCAGACCCGAGCACCTAGCGGCTGGCTCCGAAGCCAGAGCTCGCCGCGCCCCGTCGTGGCCAAGGGGACACATTCTTCCCTCCAGGCTCCTGCTCACCACGGTCTCCCCAGGCCAGGGACTCCCTGAGTGATGGCAGGAGAGCTTGAACCTGTGGCTTGTTGGTATTGTTGGGTGGGGGCACAAGCTGGGCCTAAGGCCACTCCCCACCCACCGAGACGCTCTGCCCGGATCTGCCCACGTTGCTGGCTTATGCCAAAGTGCCCTCTTCAAAGTCCCCAGGCTACAGGGGAGTTCACAGGCACCTTCCCCTGGCCCATGGGCCGAGAGCTGGCCCCTTCCTCTCTGAGCTGGGCAGTGATCCTATTTCTCATTGCTCAGCCCCAGCTAGGGTGACCAGACAGCAACTGTGAAAAATCGGGACATGTGGTGGGGGGTAGGTAATAGACACCTATATAAGACAAAGCCCCAAATATCGGGACTGTCCCTATAAAATTGGGACATCTGGTCACCCTAGCCCCAGCCCCTCTTCCCTTCTGTCCTGGGTGGCCTCCTTGGTCCTGTGCTGCGGTTTGGAAGAGCCCCCCAGTGCCAGGGAAGAAGGAGGCCTGAGCGAGGCTTTTTGCTGCCAGGACGCAGATGCCTGCTCGTATGCTGGCTGCCCCCTGGCCTGACGCAACAGGGCTTGAACCAGTGACCTCCAGAGCTACGTGCAGGAGCTGCTACTATGTGGGCCGAAGAGCCAGGGCGCCCTTACTGGGGCAGGGCCAGCGCAGGCCCAGGGGCAGGGACTCTATAGCGCCCCTGGACCAATGGGTTATGTCAACACAGTGCCAGGAGATCCCCTGTGGGGCTCCAGAGGGGGCAGCCCCAGGCAGCGGTGCCCTCTCCCTGCATAGAGAAGGGTGGCCGTGCCGGGCCGTACCTTGCCGGGCTCGCCTGCTGGAGAAGGATTGGGGGAAGTTCCTGCGCTGGGACTCTGCGCATGGGGCAGGTGTGCAGCCGGAGGCCGTTAGGGACCCTATCCTCAGGGCAGCTCGGGGACAGGCCCCCATTGACTCAATCCTGATCATGTGGCCCTAACATTCCAGGGGAGACAGCTGGGGGCCCCCTCCAATGGAGACATTCCGGGCAGTAAAGTCCCAACCTCTCCCCGGGGTAAGAACCCCACCGCAGCAGCTGTGCTGCCCATGGGAGAGACGGGCCGAGGGATCCCGGCCGTGCAAGTGGGTCCGGGTGGGAGGCACAGGGAACCTGGCCGTGCGAGTGGGCCCGGGTGGGAGGCGCAGGGATCCCGGCCGTGTGAGTGGGCCCAGGTGGGAGGCGCAGAGATCCCGGCCGAGCAAATGGGCCCAGGTAGGGTTGCCAACTTTCTATTTGCACAAAACCAACACCCTGGCCCCGCCCCTTCTCTGAGGCCCCACCCTACACTCACTCCAGGCCCCTCCCTTGGTTGCTCACTCTCCCCCACACTCACTCACTTTCACTGGGCTGGGACAGGGAGTGGGGTGCGGGAGGGGGGAGGGTTCCTGCTGAGGGTCTGCGCTCTGGGGTGGGGCTGGGGATGAGGGGTTTGGGGTGCAAGAGGGGGCTCTGGGCTGGGGCTGAGGAGTTTGGAGTGCAGGAGCGGGCTCAGGACTAGGGCTAGGGCAGGGGGTTGAGGTGTGGGAGGGGGTGCAGGCTCCGGCTGGGGGTGCAGGCTCTGGGATGGGGCCGGGGATGAGGGGTTTGGGGTGCAGGAAGGGGCTCCGTGCTGGAGTCGAGGGGTGCGGGCTCTGGCAGGGGGCTCAGGGCTGGGGTAGGGGGTTAGGGTGTGGGGGGTGGGCTCTTTGAGGGAGTTAGGGTGTGCAAGGGGGTTCCGACCTGGGGCAGGGAGTTCGGGGTGCAGGCTCTGGCTGGGCAGCGCTTACCTTAGGCGGCTCCTGGTTGGTGGCGCAGCATGGCTAAGGCCTGCCCTGGCTCCGAGCTGCTCCCGGAAGCGGCTGAATGTCCGGCCCGTAGGCGGAGGGGCCAGACGGCTCCACGCGCTGCCCACACCCGCAGGTGCCACCCCCGCAGCTCCCATTGGCCACAGTTCCTGGCCAATGGGAGCTGCGGAGCCGGCGCTGAGAGCGGGGGCAGCACGCAGAGCTTCCCTGATCACCCCTGCAACTAGGGGCTGGACATACCGTCCGCTTCCAGGGAGCTGCACAGATCCAAGGCAAGCAGGGAGCCTGCCTTCGCCCCGCTGTGCCGCCGACCGGGTCCCTTTTCAACCGGGCGTTCTGGTCGAAAACCTGCTGTGCGAACGGGCCCGGGTGGGAGGCGCGGGGATCCCGGCCGTGCGAACGGGCCCGGGTGGGAGGCGCGAGGATCCCGGCCGAGCGAATGGCCTGTTGCAGTCCACAGTAAGCATAGGGAGGGCAGCACAAAGCACCGAGCCAGTGCGTGACTCATAGTCTCTGCAGTCTTCTTGTCTTCTGCACTAACTCACTTACCAGCTCAGTGACCTGAATCCTAGCAGAGGGAAGACCCAGGGCCCTGCAGTGTCTGCTCCTCCCGAGTCCCCCCCTCCGGGGGAGAAGGACAGCCTGTCCATGTAAACAGGCAAGCAGGTGAGATCGGACCATTTAATGCCACTTCCCTGCAGAACCCGCAAGCACAGGATCTCCCTTCCCTTCCCCGGGGCACATGCCCCCTCCATGCTGAGGCTATGGGGTTCTGCCCCTCTCCTGAGCTCCAAGTGCCCGGGGTCCTGCCCCTCCCCTGCTGAGACCCAAGTGCCTGACCGCCTGCATCTCCCCTGGCCCCTTCCTTCCACACCAAATTCGTTCGCCAAAAGAAAAAATCAAGGGGGGAAAATCTAGCCCCAGAGCAGGCACCTGTCCAGCTAGCCAATCCGCTCCGAGCAGCCAGAATAACTTAGCAACCAAGTGGAGAGCTTGGCAACCGGAGCAGCTGCACCAGAAAACCTTCAAAATACTAATGAGCTGGGCCGGAGCCCTCTGCAGTGTGATCGCCCGCCCCGGGGAAGCCGGCTGGCCGCACAGCGATGGCAGCTGGGCAGAGCCTGACCACGCACTCAGGCCAGCATGCAACGGGGCCGGTAGGCAAACCATGACCCCCAGAAGGGCAAGGACAGTGCCAGAGATGCTCAATTCGCCCTCCCGAGAGCGGGGCCCTCCCTGTGGAAGGGAGCACCCAGTAAACACCAGCAAGTGTCACCAGCCGCAATGTGAGACTGCTCTAAGCTCTGCTCTCCAACCGGGCCCGGTGCACGTGGGAAGGAGCCAGGGCTAGCGGAGCGATGGTTGCAGCTCCCTCTGGATCCCTGAATTCCCAGAGCCGGGCATGGCAGATCTCCCCGAACTCACAGTGTGTTTTCCACCATTCCACCATGCAGCAGAAAGCTGAGAGCAGGCTAGGAGGAAACCCACTCGCCCCCACTCATTTTGAATGCAGAGGCGTCACACAGCTGGGACCCTTCATCCATTCTAAGCACGGGGGCCGACACGTCGCAAACTGGGCCCTGTGTCTCTGATGCCGTCTCCAAGGGAGGGGGAGGGAGGTATCTCTGCTAGCGTGTCAGATTTCCCCCATGTGCTGCTTCAAAGAAATGCCCTCCTAGAAGCAGAACAGTTGGGCGAGGATGCAAGCTCATCTAGTTGCCCCTTGTCAAGGGCGGAGCTGGTTTCATGCAGATACATAGATCACTGTGATCGTCGCAGATGACACTAAGCTGCAGGGAGAGGTAGATATGCTGGAGGGTAGGGATAGGGTCCAGAGTGACCTAGACAGATTGGAGGATTGGGCCAAAAGAAATCTGATGAGGTTCAACAAGGACCAGTGCAGAGTCCTGCACTTTGGATGGAAGAATCCCATGCACTGCTACAGGCTGGGGATCGAGTGGCTAAGCAGCAGTTCTGCAGAAAAGGACCTGGGGATTACAGTGGATGAGAAGCTGGATGAGAGTCAACAGTGTGCTCTTGTTGCCAAGAACGCCATTAGTAGGAGCATTGCCAGCAGATCGAGGGAAGTGATTATTCCCCTCTATTCGGCACTGGTGAGGCCACATCTGGAGTATTGTGTCCAGTTTTGGGCCCCCCACTACAGAAAGGATGTGGACAAATTGGAGAGAGTCCAGCAGAGGGCAACGAAAATGATCAGGGGGCTGGAGCACATGACTTATGAGGAGAGGCTGAGGTAACTGGGCTTGTTAGTCTGCAGAAGAGAAGAATGAGGGGGGATTTGATAGCTGCTTTCAACTACCTGAAAGGGGGTTCCAAAGAGGATGGAGCTCGGCTGTTCTCAGTGGTGGCAGATGACAGAACAAGGAGCAATGGTCTCACGTTGCAGTGGGAGAGGTCTAGGTTGGATATTAGGAAAAACTATTTCACTAGGAGGGTGGTGAAGCACTGGAATCGGTTACCTAGGGAGGTGGTGGAATCTCCATCCTTAGAGATTTTTAAGGCCTGGCTTGACAAAGCCCTAGCTGGGATGATTTAGTTGGTATTGGTGCTGCTTTGAGCAGGAGGTTGGACTAGATGACCTCCTGAGGGCTCTTCCAATCCTAATCTATGATCATCTGGTCTGAGCTGCTGTAGGGCACGGGCCATGGAACTTCCCCCATAATAATTACTAGAGCAGATCTTTTAAAGAAACAGCCAGTCTTGATTTTAAAATTGTCAGTGATGGAGAATCCACCACGACTCGTGGGAAATTGTCCCAACAGTTAATTACTCTGAGTGTTAAAAATGTACGCCTTATTTCCAGTCTGACTTTGTCTAGCTTCAACTCCCAGCCATTGGATCATGTTAGACCTTCCTCTGCTAGACTGAAGAGCCTGTTATCAAATATTGGTTTCCCACGTAGGTACTGACAGACTGTAATCAAGTCACCTCTTAACCGTCTCTGTTGAGCAAAACAGATGAAGCTCCTTGTGTCTCTCACTCTCAGGCAGGTTTTCTAATCCTTTAATCATTCTCCTGGCTCTTCTCTGCTCCCTTTCCAATTTATCGACATCCTCCTTGAATTGTGAGCACCAGAACTGGGCACCGGATCCCAGCAGCGGTCGCACCAGCGCCAAACACAGAGGTGAAATAACCTCTCTGCTCCTACTTGAGATTCCCTTGTTTATGCATCCCAGGGTCGCATTAGCTGTTTTGGCCACAGCATCACGTGGGGCGCTCACCTTCTGCTGATTATCCACCGTGACCCCCGAATCTTTTTCAGAGTCACTGCTTCCCAGGATAGAGTCCCCCATCCCGTATGGCCTATATTCTTTATTCCTACCCGTGTACATTTACTCATACTGTTTCCTTGCACCCAGTTTACCAAGCAATCCTGATCTCTCTGTGTCGGTGACTTGTCCTCTTCATTATTTACCACTCCTCCAAATTTTATATCATCTGCAAACTTTATCAGTGATGGGTTTGTTTTTTTTCTCCACATCATTGAGTAAAAACTGTAAAATAGTCCCTGCAGGACTGCGCTAGAAACACACCCGCTTGATGACAATTGTCCGTTTACAATTTCATTTTGTGACTTATCAGATGGCCAGTTTTGAATCCATTTCATGTGTACCATGTTAATTTTAGACGTCTAGTTTTGTAATCAAAATGTCGTGCAGTACGAGGTCAATTGCCTTACAGTATCCAAGTATATTACATCAATGTTATTACACTCATCAAAAAAAGATATCAAGTTAGTTTGACAAGCTATTTTTCCGTAAACCTGTGTTGATTTGCATTAATTACATTATGCTCCTTTAATTCTTTATTAATCGAGTCCTGTATCAGCCACTCCATTATCTTGCCCAGGATCGATGTCAGGCTGATAGGCCTATAATTGCCCAGGTTGTCCCATTCACCATTTTTAAAAATTGGCACAACATTAGCTTTTTTTCTAGTCTTCTGGAATTTCCCCAGTGCTCCAAGACCTATTGAAAATGAACATTAATAGGCCGGCAAGCTCCTCAGCCAGCTCTTTAAAACTCTTGGATGCAAGTTTTCTGAATTTGCTGATTTAAAAATGTCCAACTTCAGTAGCTGCTGTTAAATGTCTTCCTGAGATACCAGTGGAATGGAAAGCCTGTTATTATCATCACTATATGATGAGACTACATCATCTATTTTTTCCTCCCAATACAGAACAGAAATATTTATTGAACACTTCTGCCTTTTCTGCATTATTAGTGATAATTCTATCATTTCCATCTAGCAATGGACCAATTCCATTGTCAGGATTCTTTTTGTTCCTAATATATTTTAAAAAACCTCCTTCTTATTGTCAATAACTCTGCTGGCCATAGATTTCTCCTTGTGTCCCTTGGCTTCCCTTATCAATTTTCTACAATTCCTAACTTCCAATTAATATTTATTACTGTCAACTTCCCCTTTTTTCCATTTATATATATATATTGGTTCCTACAATTGATTCTCCTAGGCTTTGTCCAGCCTGGTCTTAAGATGTCCCAAGTGAGGGGGCTCCCAACCCTTCCCAGGGAAGACCTTCCATGCCAGGAAGCATTTCCTGATTTTCAGCCAGAGCTCATCCCCATATGCCTAATTCAAGCCCCTGGCCATCCCTGGACAGTTCCTCCCCCTCCTTGCCATGCGCATCCTTTTGTGGGTGTAAATGGCACCCCGTCCCCTGGGTCATCTCTTAACCAGTCAGGACATTTTTCATTCTTTCCCTCCAAGTCAGTCGCCTCAGGTCTGGGGCCCTTTGAGTTTGTGACTCAATTCAAGAACCTGACTGAGGCCTGTGGATGATGGTCCATTCCATCAACGTTCGACTTTTGCATTCAGTGTGCTCTGCGTCTTTCCCCTTGCAGAGGGACACTCTTGGCTTGGCTTGGAAGAGGAGGCTGTGTGAGGGCAGGGTGATTGTTCAATCCCCTCTAGCCCTCAACCTATTTTCCACCATCCACACTCCCCTGCAAGCAGACGCCTGAGAAGACAGAAGGGGTCTGCTCTGCATTCAGAAGTCCAATGGGCTCCACGTTGGCAACGCACAGAGACGAGGACCCCCGGATGAGATTCCCCTGCACCCAGATGTTCCCAGGGAGGGGCCCCTCTTTCCAATGCCATGGGAGAAGAGCCTTTTCTCCAAGAACAGGAACCCACGGCAACCAGAACTACAAAGATCACTGGGAATCGGTCCTGGAAGAGAACTGGAAACCAAGGCGGTCGGGGGAGCTCTAGGACAGCTTATGGGCCAGACATGAGTGCCTGCTCTGGGCTGGAAGGAGCATGCAAAAAGGTCCAAGTGCCCCAAATTCACAAGCTCGAAAGGACAGTGTCTGCTCTGGGGCCGCGTGGTGGCGACATCACTATTGGTGTACCTGGACCGTGGGATCGGATGCCGAGGGGCGAGGCTTGGCGTGGCTGTTACGAAAAGGGTTAGCGGTGAGGCCCTCGCCCAGGGTGAGGTGGTTATCGCGGGGCAGGCTGGGGGGCCACAGATCAGAGACAGTGATGGGGGGAGGTTTGCAGGACCCTGTGCAGATTTCCTGGGGGCTCTGAGAGCTCCCCACAAAGATGCTCTAGCATGAGGAAAGGCCTCGGGGTCGCGGGGAGGAAGGTGGCTTGGCTGCTGGACTGGCTCGCAGGAGACCCAGGTTCAATTCCTGTCTCCTTCACGCCCTTCCTCTTTGAGCTTGGGCAAGGTCACCCCGTGCCCCGGTTTCCCCTCAGCACAATGGAGACAGCCCTGCCCTGCAGCACAGGAGTGTGTGAGCGTCTGAATCGTCCCTAGGTGTGAGGTGCTCGGGGGTTGGTACCTGGCTGGAAGGGGGCATCTTCCGAGAAGGTTAAGGACCAAATGGTTCCAATGCGGGATGCCCTTCTGGGCGGGACTGGGGGAGGTCCTATGAAAACATGGCTCCCTGGGGCTGAAGACAAGCCATTCCCAGCATTTCTGTAGGGCCTACACAAAACGTGCTCCTGCGCTCCCTTCCTGCTGCCCCCGTAGCCGTGAGTTGAGCCCCAGCTCCTAAGAGACTGCGAGGCGCAGGCTGTGTATTAAAATCTCCTTGCCCCAGTGTCTCTCAGCGTGAGGGCGTCCGGCCCGGGCTCTCCTCAGTCGCTCACAGGAATACTACACGTCCGGGCAGTGCTTGGCCCGGAGCTGAATGCTCCCATCTCTGCGCTGGGCAGGGAGCGGATCCACGCCGGAATCGAGAGGAGACTTGGGAGCTGAGGCTGGGCAGGGGGCAGCGAGTGATCATCGCTGGTTATTTTGGACTGGGCTGGCCCCTTGCAGAGCTTCAGGCCGAGATGGGCCCTGCCCTACGTCAGATCAGTGACCCCTGTGCGTTGGGTGGTTTGGACAGGCCTGGTGGCTGGCGGGGTAGGAGTGGAGCGCAGCTGGGCTGGCTGGTTGGTCACTTGCAGGTGAAGTGGGTGGGCAGAAATTCAACAGGCTCAAGGTCTCGGTTCTGCTGTAGCTACCAAGGTGCGTCAGGGCCGGGCAGCGGGGGCAGGAGGTACAGACAGCCAGGCCAGGGGCCAGCTGTATCCCTGCTGCTGTCCGTCCTCTTTCAGGAGGGCACCGCGGGGTGGGTCTCCAGTGGGTGGCCTCGTGCCACGTTTGGTACTGCTTCCTCCCTGATGGAATGGGGCTGAAGGGACAGAGATAGCAGGATTTTTGGGGGGAGGGGAGATTTGGGGGTTCCCAGGATGGCACCTCACATCCCCTGCCTGCAGGTCCTCCCTGAGATCCCAGAGCAGGGGGAAGGGCAGTGCTGGAGGCAGGCGGATGGCAGACCCCCTCCATCACCGCCAGACCCTAACGCTCCGGTGCCCTTTGTGGCTTCCCTCCTGGGCCCCTTTCCCTGGCCCAGGGCTGCTCCCCCATCATGGGGCGTTTCTTCCCCGACCCCCCGCCTCCGGGTCCGTAACTCGGGGCAGCTCCTTTGCAATTAGAGACTGAGATTGAGAGGGAGTCCGACTCCATCATCTCCATTCTCTTCCTCCTCCTCTTCCTCTTCTCCTCCCGTCCCCCCCGCCCCCCATCATCTCCCCTCTCACCTCCCGCCCCCCACCAGCCTGCGTGGTTGTTACCACTCACCATGAACTAACACGCCCCCTGGTGTTTGCATGCAGTCATTGCATCCAGCAGATCCTGGAGGCTGTTCTCCATTGCCACCAAATGGGGGTCGTCCACAGAGACCTCAAGGTGAGTTTTCTACCCCGCTGCTCTGTCCGTCTGTCCGTCCGTCCGTCTTTGTACCTTGTGCATGTTTCTGAGCGAGAACTGGAGTGGCTCAAGCCCCACGCCGCTGCAGGGGCCTGCGGGAAAGGGGCCGGCACAGGGGGCCCAATCAGAAATCAGCTCGGCTTGGCTCAGCCATGGGGATGCGCCGGACAGACCCTGCCCAGTAGGGAGGGACAGAGTGCCCTGTTGGCACCTCCAGGCAATTGGGGAGGCTGGGTGGGGGTTGGGGTTTGTCGCCACCCAGAGGCAAAAGCGGAAGCTGCTCCTTTCTAGCCGCCGGCCACGTAGGACAACTGGAGAATCCCTGGGAGAGAAGATACTGTGCTGAGGGGATGGCGTGGCAAGGGAGCCGGCCCTTGAACGGGGGCAATACAGCTGGCCTCTCGGCCACCTCCTGGAGCTGCAGCAGGCAGCAGGCCGAGATCAGGCTCTTTACCCCTCTCCCGGCACCCATCCCCTGCGTAGATCAGTGCAGGGGCTCACCCGCTGGTGCCCCTTGGTATCGGACAGGCGCCCAGCCCCGGTTGCTAGGAAGGATTCGTTCTGCGCAGCAAGGCCTGACTAACCTTTTCCTCTCTTCTTGCCCTCCCCTTTGCCTCGTCCAACATCTCTCCCTGCCCCCAGGCGGCACCGGCGGGCGGGCGGGCGGGACTCCTGCCGAGGAGGGCTCTCGCTGTCTGCATGCCCTGTGTCTGGTTGAACCGTGTTACCTGTTCTCTGTGACGCCCGCCGTGGGTTGCTTGTCTTTTGTTTGCCCCCCATAAAGCCTCCTGGGCGTCGCAAATCGCGCTGGGCCTCCAAGCGTGAGGAGCAGGGATGTGGTCTCGTGTGGCCGAGTGGGGCTGGGATAAAGGGGTGCGTGAGAGACCCAGAAACAGCGCTGTGAAATTAACAAGGGGGTTCCTACGCCAGCCCTGGTGGAGACGCTGGGCTGCCCCCTCCTCTGCTGCTGCCCAGCTTTCCCTTACAGGCTTTGGAGACAGGAAATGTTCAGCAGTTCCTTGCCCCTTCAGTGACACACCAAGCTTTTCCAGGGGGCTCCTGCCCCCTGTGAACTGGAGGAGGCCAGCTGGGGTCCCAAAGGCCACAGAACCGCTCTGGGGTGTCCCTCCAGAACATCCCCTGAAAACCCGGGAAATGGTACGGGGCAAAGATGCCGTTCCCCAGGAGCTTGTGGCTGTCTGTGACCTGCCTGGGGAGGGGGACAGGACAGGCTGTTTTCATGGCTGGGCTGTGGTGCATAGGGTCATGCTGTAATGGGGTGATGGAGCCAGGCTCTAGTTGTGCCACAAGGTGGTAGTTGAGCCAGGGTCTGGAGTCATGCTGGAACGGGGTTATTTAGCTGGGCCTTCACTTGTAGGGTTATTCTGTAATAAGGTGATGGAGCTGGGCTCTCGCCTGTGGGGTTGTGCCGTACTGGGGTGATGGAGCTGGGCTCTTGCCTGTGGAGTTGTGCCGTACTGGGGTGATGGAGCTCAGTTCTGGCTCCTGGAGACATGCCATAACAGGGTGATGGAGCTGGGCGGTCACATGAGACATTGGGCTCTAATGGGGCAATGGAGCCGGGCTCTCAAAGGCAGAGTCATGTTGTCATGAGATGATGGAGCTGGCTCTTGGGAATTGAATTGTGCTGCGTCAGGATGATGGGGCTTGATTCTGGCACATGGAGTCCATGCCGCAGGTAGCTAGAACGGGGCTCTCAAACATGCAGTCAAACCATAGCAAATTGATGCAGCTGGATTCTGGTGACTTGAGCCATGCCACAGTGGGATGATGGAGCTGGTCTCTGGTGCATGGAATGCCTCTAACAGCCTGATGGGGATGGGCTGTTGCATGTGGCGTCCTGTCCTAATGGGTTTGTGCAGCTAGGCGCTTTCACCTGGAGTCCTGCTGAAACAGGGTGATGGAGCTGGAGCTGGTGCCTCGAGTCCTGCTGTAATAGGTGATGGAGCTGGGCTGTGGCTCGTGCCATCCTGCTGTCATGGGGTGACGAAGCTGGGCTCTTGTGCATGGAGCTGGGCTGCAGTGGGACAATGGAGCACACTGCATGGTGCTGGGCTGTGTGCTGGAGAGCTGGAACCTGGTGCTTGGGATCATCATGGAGCGGGGTGATGCAGCAGAGTCGGGCCGCAGCAAGGTGGTGGAGCTGGGCTCAAGCAAATGGAATTGTGTTCTGGGAGTTGGAGTGGCACTCGGGGCCGCAGTAGCAGGCGCTTGGCACATGGTGGAGTGGCGCCAGAGGCTGGGGGAGCAGGCACTGGCATGTTCTGGAGTGATGTAACGATGCTGGCTTTGGTGGGACCCAACTGAGAGTATCAATTAAGGACAAATTGCTTAGAGCAGGGCTGTTACAGCCCAAGGCTGGGGTTCCTTTTCACACCAAGGCAAACCAAACCAGCCAGACAGAGAAGACTTTGGTTTTACCCCACTGGCCAACCAGAAGTCACACAAGCAATTCCCTTAGACACTCCAGTTTCCCAGTATCACCACCAGTGCCACTCGTTATGGGGATGACTGATTATGAAAACCAATACCCCAGTAAAAGAAAAAAAAGGTTCTCTTGATCCCAAAGGACCAAGACCCAGACCCAGGTCAATATACAAATCAGATCTTACCCACAAATCACGCTGTTGCCAATCCTTTAGAATCTAAAAGCTAAAGGTTTATTCATAAAAGGAAAAAAGATACAGATGAGAGCTAGAATTGGTGAAATGGAATCAATTACATACAGTAATGGCAAAGTTCTGGATTCAGGCTTGTAGCAGTGATGGAATAAACTGCAGGTTCAAATCAAGTCTCTGGAACATCCACAGCTGGGATGGGTCATTCAGTCTTTGTTCAGAGCTTCCGTTTGTAGCAAAGTCCCTCCAGAGGTCAGAAGCAGGATTGAAGACAAGATGGAGGAGCTGCAGCAGCCTTTTATAGTCTCTTGCCATGTGGTCTCTGCTTTCTTTGTCCCAAACACAAGCTATCCAGCACACGGGGCATGGAAAAACCTCAGAGTTCTGTCCATAGGCAGGTCCCTGCATACCTTGCTGAGTCACAAGGTGTATCTGCCTTCTCTCAATGGGTCAGTTGTATAGCTGATGGTCCTTAATGGGCCATCAAGGAGGCCAGGCAGTGCTGATGCCACATTGTCTGGGGTGTCACCCAGAAGCACAGCACAAGTTTGAACTACAGACAGTATAGCGCCAATACTTATAACTTTACATACCAAAATGATACATACACACAGATAGCGTAATCATAACCAGCAAACCAGAACCTCCTCATAGACACCTTATTTGACCCCCTTTATACACGATTTGGTGTCACTACAGGACCTTGGTTGCACCAATGAACTATATGGTCTCAGTTCATGTTAATAACGTCACAAGTATCACTTGGGGCCAGGGTAGCGGGTGCTGGCATGTGCTGGAGTGACGCTCGGGCCGGGAAAGCAGGCACTTGGCCTGTGCTGGAGTGGCACTCAGGGCCAGGGTAGCGGGTGCTGGCATGTGCTGGAGTGGCGCTCGGGGTTGAGGGAGCAGGCATTGGCATGTGCTGGAGTGGCACCCAACACCGGGGCAGCAGGCATTGGCACATGCTGGAGTGGCACCCGGGGGAGCTGGTTTCTTGCCCTTTGTGTCATGGTGCACTGGCGAGGCAGGGGGCTGCGTTGTATGCGGTGGCATGGTGCCAGTGGGCACTCGGCTCTGGGGTGCAGCCGGTGTCATCGTATGCAGGGGCTGGGCCGAGAAGGAGAAGGGGAATGGCACCAGCCTCCTTCAAAGAACAAGGAGGAGCCCAATCAGCCCTCAAGCATCTGGTTCCGTGAGGAGTGGCCTTTGGCCTCTACAGGTGTCCCTTGCAATCTGGCCCAAGGGCAGGGGGTCCGGCTGGCACAGGGGGCAGGGAATGGACAACAGGGTCTTTCCCCTCCTGGGGGCACTGGCTCGGATCACCTCCGGGTTGAGGGGCCTGGCGGGTGCAGGAATGGGGTATGGGGCCTTTCACCGCTGGGGGCGTCGGCTCTGATCCAGCCCCAGGGCGGGGTGTCTGGCTGGCGCGGGACTGAGGTTTGGGGGCCCGAGACTCTCATCTCTGTGTGACTGGAGCTCATTCCCACCTGCTGCCTGTCTGGTGGCCGCTGTGTGACCTGATCTCAGGCCACGGCATCTGGACAACGGGAAGTTTTGAGACTCCCATCCCGTCCCTGCCCCGTCAGGCAGCTGGTCCCGGCAGGGCATGGGCGGGGCTCATTGGCACAGTCATGCGCGGTCACCCCCCTGGCCAGCGCTCTTTGTCAGGGGAGGTGGAGCTGTGGATAGATGTGTACAATCCAGCTGTTGTCCTCTGTCTCAGAGCCAGTGCTTCCGGCCCTTTGCATAACATTTCCAGAGCTTCCTAGGGGACATTCTGATTTCTCTGGCTCTGCTGAGCTCCGACAGATCGATGTGGGGGGTTAGGGGCACCAGCAGAGAAGCCAGGCCAGCCAACCTGGGGAGGGGAGGGGGGGCACCTGCTGCCGGAACCTGAATGCCCGGGAGGTGGCAGAGAGGGGAGGCCCTTTCTGTGTATGTTTGGTGGAGAGAAGCATTGGGTTTTATATTGTGCGAATGGACATATTGGGGGCTGGGAAGCCCTGGGAAGGGGGGGCTGCTTCGGTGCCCCAAATTGCAGCCAAAGATGGTGGTGATTTCCTGGCTCTCAGAGCCTGTTTCATGCCACCTACTTCTCTTGTTAGCCCAGGTGCCTTGGCAGGCCATACTGAAGACTTTGGGACGTGACACCAATCCCAGAGGGGGGAAAACGGCCTCCCAGCCTGGTGGCAGAGCACCACCAGGGAAAGTGGGCAGGCAGGGTCTCTGCTTGTCGTCCCCCTCAAGCCCAGAGCAGAGTGGGGCTTTGGGCGGCTGGAATGTGCACAGAGGCCATGCCAGATGGACACAGCAACACAGCCCAGGACTTGCCCATGGGTCAGGAAGCTGGAGGCTGTGCTGGCCTGGAATAATCCCAAAGCTGGAGCTGGCTTTCTGCCCCCCTGTAATGGCAGTGGGTGCAGGGGAGGGGAGCTAGGAGGGAGGGGCATCAGTCTGGATCCTAACACATCAGCCGAGAGAGCACAGGGGCTGGAAGGTGCCAGCCGAGCCGGTCGGGCTGTGTGGACACGCTGATAGCCCCATCCCGCCCGGGGTGTGACCCCCACTCGGTTCTCGCCGCTCATCAGCCTTGCACGTCTCTCACCTGCTTCTGCAAACCGTCTGTTGTTGTTCTTCTGTTTTGTTTTCTCCCCCCTCCCCTTCTCTACCCCCCTCCGACCGCATGTCTGGTCCCATGGCGCCCTGTGCCCAACGGCTCGGCACGACAGCCGGAGAACCTGCTCCTGGCCAGCAAGTGCAAAGGCGCGGCGGTGAAGCTGGCGGATTTTGGCCTGGCCATCGAGGTGCAGGGGGATCAGCAGGCTTGGTTTGGTGAGTGGCAGAGCCCCCTCCCCGCCCCCATCCCACCCCTGCTGCCCAGGACAGTCATGGCAACACAGTCTGTGCTCTGTGTTTTCTCCCCAGGCTTCGCCGGCACCCCCGGTTACCTCTCGCCCGAAGTGCTGCGCAAAGAAGCGTACGGCAAACCCGTGGATATCTGGGCATGTGGTAAGGCCTGCGCCGCGAGTCATAAAGTCATAGATGGGAAGGCCAGTGGGAACCACTGTGCTCATCTAGTCTGGTGTCCCGTATAGACCTGGCCTGCAGGAATCCCTGTGTGAACTAGGCCAGATCTGCTAGAAAAACAGCCAGTCTTGAGTTCAAAATTGTCAGTGATGGAGAATCCACCATGCTCCTTGGGACATTGTCCCCTGGTTAATTACCTTCCGTGTTAAACATTGACACCTCATTTCTAGCTTCACCTTCCAGCCATTGCGTTGTGTTAGACCTTCCTCTGCTCTCATGTAGGCACTGGCAGACTGGGATCACGTCCCCCCTTCACCTTCTCTGTATTAAGCTAAATAGATCGAGCACCTTGAGTCTCTCACTGGAAGGCAGGTTTTCTAATCCGTTAATCATTCTCGTGGCTCTTCCCTGCCCCCTCTCCAGCTTATCAACGGCTCAGTGTCAGGGATCTGCCAAGTCTCCTTCTCCCTGCCTCTGGGCTGAGCCACCCACTTGTGCCTTCAGTTCTTTGTGACGGTCGGTGCTCATGGACTGGTGGTGAGCTGGCCTAGTGGTTAGGGGGCTGGCTTGGGAGACATGTATTCAAGTCTCACCACTGCCAGTGTCTCTCTGGGCAAATCACTTAAGGCCAGATTGCCCAAGGAGTTAGGCACCCAAAGATGCAGAAAAGGCACCTAGTGGGTGTAACGATGCTGCCTTTGGTGGGACACTACTGAGAGTATCAATTCAGGACAAATTGCTCAGAGCAGGGCAGTTACAGTTCCTTTTCACACCAAGGCAAACCAAACCAGCCAAACAGAGAGGACTTCCGTCTCACCCCACTGGCCAACTAGAAGTCACACAAGCAATTCCCTCAGACACTCCAGTTTCCCAGTATCACCACCAGTGCCACTCGTTATGGAGATGAATGGTTATGAAAACCAATACCCCAGTAAAAGAAAAAAGGTTCTCCTGATCCCAAAGGACCAAGACCCAGACCCAGGTTAATATACAAATCAGATCTTACCCACAAATCACGCTGTTGCCAATCCTTTAGAATCTAAAATCTAAAGGTTTATTCATAAAAGGAAAAAAGATACAGATGAGAGCTAGAATTGGTGAAATGGAATCAATTATATACAGTAATGGCAAAGTTCTGGATTCAGACTTGTAGCAGTGATGGAATAAACTGCAGGTTCAAATCAAGTCTCTGGAACATCCACAGCTGGGATGGGTCATCGGTCCTTTGTATAGAGCTTCAGTTTGTAGCAAAGTCCCTCCAGAGGTCAGAAGCAGGATTGAAGACAAGAAGAGGAGCTGCAGCAGCCTTTTATAGTCTCTTGCCATGTGGTCTCTGCTTTCTTTGGCCCAAAGACAAGCTATCCAGCACATGGCATGGAAAAACCTCAGAGTTCTGTCCATAGGCAGGTCCCTGCATACCTTGCTGAGTCACAAGGCATATCTGCCTTCTCTCAATGGGTCAGTTGTATAGCTGATGGTCCTTAATGGGCCATCAAGGAGGCTAGGCAGTGCTGACGCCACATTGTCTGGGGTGTCACCCAGAAGCACAGCACAAGTTTGAACTACAGACAGGATAGAGCCAATACTTATAACTTTACATACCAAAATGATACATGCACACAGATAGCGTAATCATAACCAGCAAACCAGAAGCTCCTCATAGACACCTTATTTGACCCCCTTTATACAAGATTTGGTGTCACTACAGGACCTTGGTTGCACCAATGATCTATACGGTCCCAGTTCATGTTAATAACGTCACCGAAGGTTTTACAGTGGTGCCTAAGCAGATTAGGTGCCTAACTCCCATTGGCTTTCCATTCCCGCCTGCATGGAGCCCAGAGCGTTGCTGTTTATTGAACTCTGTGTCCAAGATGCTGCATGAAGCCAGCCAGCCCCAAATCCCCCTGTGAGCAGTTTGGATCCTAGTCCCTATCCGTGCCTGATAACGGACGCTAAAAGCCCGCTGCCCCATGGCTCATCCTCTCTGTGGAGCCTTTGCTAGTCCCAGAGACCCCTCCCCATCCTACAGGGAGAGGAGGCCTAGAGGCATAGACAAATGTTAGCAGGGGGGTGCTAGAGGTATAGATAGCAGTCGGCAGGGTCAGGTCTAAACCCCTTGCTGCAGGCTCTCGCTCCCATCCCGTGGTGGCCCCTGGGCATCCGGGCACCTGCTCAGTGCAAGGGCTTGCTCCTTCCCTGCCAGGTGCAGGGGGTGGATGAGGGGGTGGTTAACCAGCAGCAGGTCGGTGCTGGAAATGTAAAGCCAAGTTGCATTAAGGCAGGAGAGAGCAAGCGGGACCTGGCAGAGACGGGGTTCCCCAGGAGATGCCTGCTGGCAGCAGACTGAACAGAAACCCCCATATCCCTGTGTAAGTCCAGCCCTGGGCCCCCAGGAGTCGGCAGGCGCTGACTCTTTGCTCTCCCATCCCTCTCCCCAGGTGTGATCCTTTACATCCTGCTAGTCGGTTACCCTCCCTTCTGGGACGAGGACCAGCACAAACTGTACCAACAGATCAAGGCTGGTGCCTACGACGTGAGTACCTCCCTGCCCCCACCCCGGGCCCAGAGCACCGCGACGGGGACCTGCTGCCGCGGGCCAGGAGTCCCGTACGCCACCGGCTTCGTCTCCGGCGTGTCAGCCTGCCCCTCTGGTTTCTCCTTTGCCGCGCCTGCTATCGGACCTGGAATTGCTGGTGTCTCCCCAGCCGTAGAGCTGTGCCCAGCCCTTCCAGGGTAGGACACGTCCCTCCTCCTCCTCAGGGGGCCGACAGGGCTGTGGCCGGCCAGCCTCCACCCACAGTACACACCCCCCTCCCCATGACTTGCCCCTGTCACGGTGCAGTTGCTGGGCCCCATCCATGATGCATATAGAGATACTCCCCCGCCATGTAGACAGCATCCCAGAGTGCCCTGGGCGTGGACATGGTGCTAACGCAGGTTAGCGCTCACCGGACCTGCCCAGCCTGCAGGGATAGGATATCTTTGAAACCATGTTGGCTAGCGGGACTCCAACAGGACTTGTTCCCAGTGTAGACGGGGCCAGGTGGGTTTAGGATCGTGTTAGCAAGTCGGGATCAGGCCCCGTGGCCATTCTGTTACTGTCGGGGCTGGGAGGCTGGAGGAAGCTGCCTTCCATTACACCCAGAGACCAAGCAGAGCGGGGGACTCCGTTCTTTGCCTGGGAGGGGCTGTGGCCCGCCAGCCGCGCTGCAGGGTCGCGTGTGCTGTGGATCCTGCGGTCCTGGATGCTGCCACACAGGGGCCACTGGAATCACCCACACACACACCCACGCCCCGTTCGTAGAGCTCCATCCTGTCCCCAAGCCCGTCCTGCCCTCGGTCCCGGCTGTCTGCACAATCCCCATGGCAAGCCCAGCACCTGCCGTGGGGAGTGCCGACAAGTGTGGTAACCCGCCCTCCTGGCTCCCTTGCAGACACTGGGCAGGGCCGTGGCACAGGGACCTGGCCGAGATTCCTGCCTTGGCACGACTCTTTCTCCACGCACATGGCAGCACGGAGGGACCCGGGAGCATCCAGACGCCCCATGCGAGCCGCGCTCCTGCGACTGCCCAGAGCGCAGGTCCAGTGGGTATCTCTCCGCTCCCAATAGCTCGGTGGAATTTGGCAGCCTCTCCGCTCCCTCTCTTCCCCCCTTTGCTGGCGCTTTCCTCACCCCTGTACGCTTGGCCTCTTCTGCACGCACTTGGGAACGACCGGGGGCCTGGGGAACGGTCTCTGCTCGTTTTTCTCCCCGCTCCCGGGGCGCCTCCTCTCCCCTCTTGCTTGTACGGAATACGAGCGGGGTCCTCCGGATTGTGCAGTGTCTGAACCGGCCGCAGGCTCCCCCTCTCGCTCCCAAACCCTGGCTTTAAATCGATTTCCCTTCTGAAGCCTGGGGCTTGCGGGGGAACCCTCCAGAGTGCAGCCTGAGTGGAACGGTGCAGTGACAGCCTGTAACAAGAAGTGTGAACAGCCCCCACTGCGCTCAGTCTATCTGTTAACTCTGAAACCTAATGATACACGTCCATACAGTTCACTGGCCGCCTACCAGCTGCAACATCCAGGCAATGTGCTTATCCCAAAATCCCCCACACTCCCTGGGGACAGAAGCCCCTGCTGCCCCCTCTCCAGCATCCAGCACCTCCAGCTTCCCCACACCCACAAAGCCTGCAGACCAGCCACATGTGGCCAGCACCAGCGTCTGTGAGAGGATGAAAACACAGGGAACGAGGCATTTAACCGGAATTAGCTGTCGAGGCAAAGGGGCGGCACGAGGGTGGGAACGACAGGTTCAAGTCAGGAAATCAAGTCCGGTTTTGCAGTAGCCCTGGATTGGCCACAGAGCTTCCCGCCCGCTGCTGTGCCAGGGCAGAATGCGGGTACCACTCACCTTGGAGCGGATGTGATAAGGCTGCGGGCAGCATTGGCCGGGCAGCGGGATGTGGGCAGACTCTGGCGCTGGCTTTGGGCTGCCCTCGGGTTCCTGGGGAGTCACTGGTGCCTTGGCTGCGAGCAGCCAGCTCCCCGCCCCCGACGGCTGCGATCCCCTGCATTTAACCTTCCTGGCCCTTGTTTCTTGTCTGCAGTTCCCTTCTCCCGAGTGGGACACGGTCACCCCCGAAGCCAAAAACCTCATCAACCAGATGTTAACCATCAACCCGGCCAAAAGAATCACAGCCCACGAAGCCCTGAAACACCCATGGGTCTGCGTAAGTGTCGCTGCCGCCCCGGACGCAGCCAGGGAGTCGGGCTGCTCGGTTCTCCCTCGCTTTGCCTCTTCTCTGGAGCCACGCCTCTCGAGCTCGGCGTTGGGGGAGTGGCGAGAGGGGCTGGCCAGGCCACACCAATGGCGCCAGCTTGGGTTAGCCCATAGCGCAGTGGCTTTGGGACCAGCATCGTCCCCAGGGAACGGTAGCCGTCAACGGGCTGATCAGAACCTGGGCCGGTTCATCTCAGCCACCCACAAGAATGCCCAGCCCGTTGTTTCCCCATCACGGAGTGAGCAGCTGTTCCCCCAGCAGCGTGCTGAGCTCTGGGGCCAGCTTGCTCACTAAGGGTATGTCTCTGCTGCGATGGAAGACCCTGGCCCGGCCGCGGCTAGCCCGGCTCAGCGGACTGGGGACGTGGGGCTCGGGCTGCGGGGCTATAACATTGCAGTGTAGACATTTGGGCTCAGGCAGATCCTGCGACCGGAGTGTGATGGGTTCGGTCACAGAGACCCCCTTGGGCTGTCACCTGTTGTGCTGGGACTACCTCTGAGCCCGTTTTCTCTGCCATCTTGGGCCTCCAGAACCCTGCCTTGTTGAGCCAGACATGCTAGCCTGCTACAACACAGACCCAGGGTCTGAACCACGTCCCCAAAGCTGCAGACTTAACTGAAAACAGCTCAGCAAGTCACCTGTCTCCAGCACCCAGATACCCAGCTCCCAGTGGGATCCAGACCCCAAATAAATCCGTTTTACTCTGTATAAAGCTTATGCAGGGTAAACTCATAAATTGTTCGCCTTCTATAACACTGATAGAGAGATATGCACAGCTGTTTGCTCCCGCAGGTATTAATCACTTACTCTGGGTTAATTAATAAACAAAAGTAAGTTTATTAAGTATAAAAAGTAGGATTTAAGTGGTTCTGAGTAATAACAGACAGAACAAAGTAAGTGGCCAAGCAAAATAAAACAAAACACGCAAGTCTAAGCTTAATACATTAAGAACCTGTTTACAAGTAAAATCTCACCCTCAGAGATCGTCCAATAAGCTTCTTTCGCAGACTAGACTCCTTCCTAACAACCCTTTCCCCTGGTACAGCCCTTGTTAGTTCCAGCTCAGGTGGTAACTTGGGGATTTCTCATGACTTGCAGCCCCTTTTGTTCTGTTCCCCACCCCCTTTTATATCTTTGGCCCAAGGGGGAATCTGGGTCCCCACCCCTCCTTCTAAATGGAAAAGCACCAGGTTAAAGATGGATTCCAGTATCATGTGACATGTACACATGTCCCTGTAAGACTTCATTACCCACTGGCTGGCCAGCACCTACCCAAGAAGGCTTACACGTAAACAGAGCCATTTACAGGTGATTGATTCTGAAGCACCCTTAATGGCTTCCACTTAATGTTTACACCTGTAATACAAGTTTATATCTTATTCTCCTAACTCCAGACATAGGAATAATACATGCAAACAAATTGGATGAACACACTCAAGAGATCCTAAGCTTTGTAATGATACCTTACAAGAGACCTTTTGCATGAAGCATATTCCAGTTACATCATACTCACATTTATAAACATATTTTTATAAAACATACGGAGCGCAACGTCACAGGGAGGGGCCCAGAATGTCCACACTGCGATTTTATAGCCCGGCAGCCCGTGCCCTGTGAGCCTGAGGCGGCTGACCTGGGCTCTGAGACTCGGTGCCGTGGGGTTTTATTGTCACGTAGACGTCCCCCGAGGGTCTGTCTGTCTGTGCTGCATTGTAAACCTGGGTCTGTGAGACCCGGGCTTGTGTTTCCAGCCTGTGCAGGAGCGGCCGCCCTGCAACGTAAACCTGGGCTCCCAGTTGCTGGGCTCGGGTCTCAGTCGTGCTAAGGCAGCCGCGCTGCTCTACGCCGCTCTTCTAATCGGGGCCGTGGCTTGAGCTGCGTCCACACTGCCAAACGACAGGGAGTAGGACTTGGTCCTAGGATCCCGGCCCTGAGTGCTCGCTGGCTACAAGTCAGGCTGATTTGTGGGTGGGCAAAAGGCAGGGTTCGGCTCAAACCTGAGTCCCACTCGGGCCTAGTGTGCCGTGTAGATAGACTCTTGGAGCTTTGTCGCTGATCTGGTGGGACAGGATCCAGGGGTGCCCAGTGCTGGTGGCCTGCCATATCTGCAGTGTTATGTCACCTGTGGTCCCAAGCCAGGACCACGCCTCTGGGGGCACTAGAGGCTTATCTGGGTGGGGCAGGACTCTGCTGGCTAAGCCGTTTCTCTAGCCCCCCCCTTCCCCCCTCGTCCCGTTCCCTCCCCTGACCACACTCGTTTTCTGGTGCCGAGGCAGAAGCAACTGATTTCTCTCCCTCACCTTCTCTCCTCCAGCAACGTTCCACCGTGGCCTCCATGATGCACAGGCAGGAGACCGTAGAGTGTCTGAAAAAGTTCAACGCCAGGAGGAAGCTCAAGGTAAATGCCCCTGCAGAGCCCTGGGGCCGGACTCTCCCGAGAGCCACGGCAAACAGACACGGCGGGGTCAGTGTGGGGTTGAGGTCCCCCCTGCCCCGGGGGCCCCATGATCTCTGCTGCTCAGCCAACAGCCCCAGAAAGGAGCAGAGGCTGCTTGGCTTGTTAGCATGGCACATCCAGGGCATAGCGTGCCCCGGCGTCTCCCCCGCCAGGAGAATTCCTGGGCCAGTGGGTTCTCCTGGCCGCACCACAGAGCTCAGAGCCCTGCAAATCCTCTCCAGGTGCTAGCAGCTGAGACTGGAGCTGGAGAATTGATCCCCCAGCTCCTAGCCCTTCCCCGGGGGGTGGCATGCGCCTGCCCCTGCTGGGGGAGCAGATTGGCCCCGCCTGCCTTGCACGTTGTCCGTTGAGCGCACAGGAACCGCAGTGTGTCAGCCACTGGGCGTCTCTGCAATGGCAGGGTAAGTCCATTGCCCCCGGAGAGTCCAGCATCTGGCGGGGGGGTTCAGCTCCCACTGTTTGTGTAGCCCACGCCCGTGCAGGTGGATAAGCCTGCTCCGGCCCTGCTTAACAGAGGTGGGTCTGTTCGCTCAGGCTGGACTGGCTCATGCTTTAAGGTGCAAAGGTGCCAGGTTTGGTGCCCCCTTGAGGGCGGCTAGAGGGGACAGGGTGGTAGCTGGCGAGGGCTGTTTCTCTAGGGGGTATAACGCCCAGGGGGACTTGTGGCCTGGCTTTGTGAGCGGAAGGATACGCAGGAGAGTCCCAGGACCATGGGCCATTCTGTGAAGTAGCTAAGTGGGAGGAAGGGGCTGGGAAAGGGCCTGATGACCGTCGTGTGGCAGAACCTGTGAGAACTGCACCTCTGCCCCTCCTGTGTCCCACGGCCCCCCCAGCTCCTGCTGCTAAGTGAGAAAATCCCCATGGGGCCCGGATTTCACCAGGGTCTCCAGACCCCACCCTGTCCCTTAGAGGCCTGTGCCACTCATCAGAACCTCAGGGGTTCTGGAGCGTCGGCCCACAGAGGAGAGAGGGAAGAGTCGGGAGGATCTGAGGGGAGCAAGGCGCCGTGCTCTCGGGGGTGGGGGCGTGCTGCGGCCAGTGGAGTCCCACGGGCAGACGTGCAGCAGATTCTGGTCGGCGTCCGTAGCTCCCTTCGGGGCAGTGCATTGGCAGGGAGTCACCCCCAGCCTCGGCTCACCACCTCGGGACCGGCACGGGTTCCCACCCTCCCGGGCTCTGCCCTCCCTGCCCCGATGCGAGGGGGGGCCGGGGCGTCAGCCCCACGTCACGGGTGGGAAGCTGGGGCTCAAGGAGCTCACGGGACTTGCCCGCGGTAGGCTACGGTGGAGCAGGCCAACAAAGCCAGCATCCCCGTGCGCTAGGTACACCTTCCCCACTTGGCCACACCCTCCTCGTGCGTCCAGGGGGCAGCGCCCAGGTGGTCGGCGGCCTGGCCCTGTCGAAACAGACCAGGTTTCCTGCACTGTGCTGTACCAACCCTGGCTCTTCTCTTCCAGGGGGCGATTCTCACCACCATGCTGGCCACGAGGAACTTTTCAGGTAAGCGCTCGGCTCGGCTTCGCATTGCAAAGAGTGTTTGCCCCTGAGGCGCGAGAGCGACCTTAGCCCCCCTCGGGACCGAGGCCACGTTCGCGGGAGGCACGATTCCACACCAGAAAAGCGCTCCTCCTGTGGATGCAGCTAGAGCGGCAGAGCTGTGCTCGTACCGGTTCAGCGAACCGCTCTGTCACAGTCTCCCCGTGTCCCTCCCGCCGCGAGGGCCCTGGCAGGGTCTCGGACATCACTTGTCTCTGAGCCGGGACCCTGGTGAGCGGGGGTTTTAAGGCTTCTCCGGCCCCCTGCCTTCCACTGTGATATCTGACCAAGGCAGACTGCCTCCCAGCTGGGTGTGGCCAGCCGTTACAAGTGACCGCCCCACGCTTTCTAAGCAAACCCCTTTGTTCTTAAGGCAAAAGCGTCACCGAGAGAACCTATGAGAACAATACGCAGATTTAACCACACACGACACGTCCCCAATCGGTCGGGGGGGGGGGGGCACATCTTTCCCACTCTCCTGCAAGGATTGGGGCCCCCCCTTGGACAGAAGGTCCAGTCCGCTTGCTGCATCAGAAAGAAGGCCCTGCGTTAGTTTAAAGGCAGCCTTTTTATTCCCAAAGCCCTTTCTTTGTTGGTCTCTCTGGAGGTGTTTACAACCTGGTTGTCCTTAATCACACCCTGTTTTTGGTTCCTGGAGGAGCCATGGTAACCTCCCTCCCTGGAGTTGCCTACAATCCCTCTCCCACAGTGCTACATAAACTCGCTATAGTGTGGTCCCCGAAGATACTGCATGGGGTTGCTGCACGCCCCAGTGAAACAAGCGATGATGGTAAAAGCTCAACTTTGCCGATGCCGCTGCATCTGCACCAGGAGCTTTGCCAGCCAGGCTCCGTTGGTCAGGGAATCTCTGCTCTTCACACCCTGGCCGACAGAGCTGTGAAATCTGTAGTGTCGACCTATCCTGAGGAGTTCTCAGCGCTGCTTAGAGCCAGACGCAGCCCAGGCAGCTGCCGTTCCTCGGCCTTAGAGGACAACCTCTTATCCTGAGCCGTGCTGGTTTGGTGATGTGGGGAATTGGGTATAGAGCTGAGAATGACAGAGCTCATCTCACCTGTGCCTGGCCAGCCTCAGTACACAGACGCCTAGTGCAGAAACCTGTTGTGCCCCGGACAGGTCTGTTCTAAAGAAGTCCCTCTAGATCCCACTGTTAACATTTGCACACCAAGGCTGGAGGGGTCTGATTGCGATGCCTCCAGGCGCCTGTAGAAATGCAGACGTGCTTGGGTATGTTTCAGGGGAGAGGCGGATGGATCTGTGTCTCTTTCAGCCATTGCAATCCCATTTTTGTCAATTTCACGGCGCGGCTGATTCTCACCTCCCAACTATCCTGCTGGCAGAGCGCTCCAGGGGAGGGGGCTGGTGGGGAAGGGGCATGCCCCTGCCGGCTGGATGTCCCTGGGAATGCCGCTCTAAAGCATACCCTTCTTTCCTGGTCTGCCCCTCCTCGGTTGGCACCCAGTATCAGCTGAAACTGACTGCCTCGGGCCCCTGCTACTGCCCCTGTCTAGAGGAGTGAGGAGAAACATCTCAAGGGAACAAGGCAGGGGGCAGCTGGGTAGATCCCTCAAGCAGGACATTTTGCTTTCTCTCCCGAGGGGCCATGACTTCGCTCTGCAGCACCCAGGCCTGGACTTCAGCTTTCCAGGGTCATGGTCACTTAGCAAGCGGTGCAAGAAAGACTAAGCAATAAGCAGCCATTGACTGTGTCACAGGGATTCAAAGCTCCCACTGGGCTTTGGGGACAACCTATGGGCATGGGGCTCTGGTGCCCTGCCCCGTGCATCCCTCAGGATCTCAGAGTTGGCGTCTTGGGCGAGAATCCCTTCTCCCGTCCGTTCCACACGGCACGGGGTCGCAGCTCCTTGGCTGGGATGTCCCCTGATGTCACAGCGAAGCTAGCAGGGCCTGGCGGGGTGGAGGGTGCTGCTGTGTGGAGGACCCTCTATGCCACCTCCAGGAGTAGCTTCCCCGCTGGGCACAGAGGGTATGTCTCTGCTACAGTTAAACGCCCGCGGCTGGCCCATGTCAGCTGCTGGGCTTGCAGGGCAATAACATTGCAGTGTAGCCGTTCGGGCTCGGAAATCTGGCAAGGGGGGGAGGTTGAAAGTTAGCTCGAGTGTCTCCACGCAGCCCCCACCCCCGGCATTGCGGTGTGGACGTGCCCCCAGCCGTGGCTCTAGGCCGGTCGCCCCTGGGGCATGTGGAACGGGGGCTCAGCTACCAGCAATCTCGCCTCTCCATCTAAACTTTAACTCGAATCTTTTTTTCTGCTTCCTTTGTCTCGTTTCTTTCCCTATCTTTCCTGCCCTCCGTCTGTCTCGCTCCCTCTCTCTGTCTTTCTCTGTCTCTCTCCCCCCCCACACCCCGACCGCTCTCCTTGTCCCTCCGTTTCCTACCCTGGTGCTGACAGTCGGCAGACAGACCACCGCTCCCGCCACAATGTCTGCAGCCGCCTCCGGTGCCACCATGGGGTTGGTGGAACAAGGTAGACGTGTCCTGAAGGGACCCTCCCTGTTTCCCCTCTCTTTCCTCCCCCTCACCCCAGAAATCTGAGCGCATGCAACTTCATCCATCATTAACATCTCATCCCCAACCAGCGCCCAGAACCGGGAGCAAACGCAGCCGGGTCTGCTCTGAGGAAGGGTGCCGGGCACTGGAGGCAGTTCCAGTTTATTCCAGCAGAGATTTTAAAAGGTCCTGGGGGGAAACGAGGATTAAAAAGTAGAATTGGAAAATGCATAGGTGTCTGGAATGGCGGAAAGAGTAAAAAAACTGGGACTGTTCAGCTTAGAAAAGAGATACCTGCGGGGGTCTGTGATAGAGGTCAATACAATCCTGAATGTTGGAGAACGTGAATAAGGACGTGTTATTTACTCCTTCCCATATCACCAGAACCAGAGGTCACCCGATGACATTAATAGGCAGCCGGTTTAAAACAAAGCGAAGGAAGTACTTCATCACACAGCGCACAGTCAAACTGGGGAACTCATCGCCGGGGGATGTTGTGAAGGCCAAAAGTGTAACTGGGGTCAGAAAAGAATTAGATACGTTCACGGAGGACAGGTCCATCAATGGCTATTAGCCACGATGGTCAGGGATACAATCCCATGCTCTGGGTGTCCCTAAACCCCTGACTGCCAGAAGGTGGGCCCGGACGACAGGGGTTAGATCACTCGGTAAATTTCCCTGTTCTGTTCATTCCCTCTGGGGCACCTGACACTGGCCGCTGTCGGCAGACAGGACACTGGGCTAGATGGACCTTTGGTCCGACTCAGTCTGGCCGTTCTCACGTTCTTATTTAATTTCCATGTTACTGCAATTGGGCCTCTCGTCCCTGGGAACTCAGAACCTGGGTCATAATCTCGGATGGCAACCAGGATCGATGGGGGAGAAGCCCGGCGACCTGGCCACACTTTAAAAGCCCAGCCTCCAGTTTGGTGCCCGCCCCCTTGTACGTGCAGGTTGTCAGGGCACACAGCTTGTTCATCGCCCCCAGGGCTCAGGGGGGAAATGCCAGGTTTGAACCCGCTATCTTGATGAAAGCCCTGAAATGTTTATGTGCAGGGCAGGACACCTGGTGGTCAGAGTCGGGCACTGCACATCAGGGACTCCACTTCAAAAGTACCTAGTTCACTTAGGGTATGTCTATACTTACCTCCGTGTCCGGCAGTAAGCAATCGATCTTCTGGGTTCGATTTATCGCGTCTTGTCTAGACGCGATAAATCGATCCCGGAAGTGCTCGCCGTCGACGCCGGTACTCCTGCTCCGCGAGAGGAGTACGCGAAGTCGACGGGGGAGCCTGCCTGCCGCGTCTGGACCCGCGGTAAGTTCGAACTAAGGTACTTCGACTTCAACTACGTTATTCACGTAGCTGAAGTTGCGTATCTTAGTTCGAAGTGGGGGGTTAGTGTGGACCAGGCCTTAGCAGCATCTAAGTAAAATCTTCACCTGGGCCTAAGTGATTTAGGAGCCAGTGTCCAATTCTCAGACGTGACTTAGGCACTGAGAGGAGGCTACCTTTCATTGAAATCCAATGGGGCTTAGGCTCCTAAGTGACTCAGGGCAGGGCTGCCCAGAGGATTCAGGGGGCCTGGGGCAAAGCAATTTTGGGGGCCCCTTCCATAAAAAAATTGCAATATTATAGAATACTATATTCTCGTGGGGGCCCCTGTGGGGCCCGGGGCCTGGGGCAAATTGCCCCACTTGCCCCTCCCTCTGGGCGGCCCTGACTCAGGGCAAGATTTGCAACGGTATTTAGGCCCCTAGAAATGCAAAGAGGTGCCTAAGTCCCTTTCACAATCTGGCCCTTTTGAAAATTTTATCCGTCGCTTCTCCTCGTGACATTAGGCAACCCTCGCTCTGTGCCTCAGTTTCCCTATTAGTAAAATGGGCACCCAAATACTCCCCGCCCTCTGGCATGTGGGTTCCTGGCTGTAGTCCAAGAGCCAGCTCCTATTGATTTATTCATTCATTAAAGCCAGCAATGTGGCGGTGACGCCCGCCTCCATTTTGCTGTCACGCCGCGCTCAGCCCGGGACTCTGTGTTCCCTTTGGCAGGAGTTGAAGCCCATCCCTTTCTCACACAGGGCAGGGAGCAGCTGCTGGTGAACTCCTCGGGGGGCGTAAAAACCTGAACTCAGGGCTTGGCAGGGGACGGAAGGTGGAGATGGGCTGCAGACCCTGTATTTTAAATGCCACTCTTTGTAGTCCTGGCTGATTGGTTTGGGAGCATAATCCACATTGGATGTGCTGTGCGGCTCCTCTTTGAAACAAGCCAAGCCCTCGGCTGTTTTCCTGCCATACACAGAGCCCTGGGCTGGGCATGATTGTACTGGGGTGGCTACACCAGCTGTTTTTAGCTCCATTAAAGCCAGCTTGGGGATGCCTACCCGTGCTGCTGTCCACCTCCTGACCGCAGTGGGGACATCCCCGGCCCCTTTTGGCGCTTGCGATCAGTCCCTAGAGCAGGAGGAGGCAAGGGCCATGCATGCCAGCTGCAACCAGTGTCAGGCAGAGGGTCGTGCCTAGCTGCGGACCCTCTTGCATCGGCCAGGCTGTTGGCCTGGTATCGTGCACTGGTGGCTTCTCAGGGCAGCGAAGGCCCAGCCGGCTTTCCCAGCGTGCCCAGAGATTCTGTTCCCAGCTTGGGATTGGAGTTCCCATCCTCAAGCTTCGTTGGTCGGTTTGCCGCGGCTGCCGCATTGGGATTCCTCCCCCAGCGAGGGATTTCCACAGTCGGGCCGAAACGGGAAACAATTAAATGACCCAAAGCCCGGGGAGCAGGCAGGCAGATCGCCCACTGTATAAGGTGTGAGCACCGCCCCCAGGCACAGCGCCACAGTTGCCCATCACACGTTGGTGTGCGATTGCATGGTTCGTCCAGAGAGCGGACAGCAGATAGGTGCTGGGTGCGCTTAAGGACTGACATTCACCCTGTGCAGCGGATCAGCCTGAGGCGCCCGCCAGAAGCACCCCCGATATTTGGAAGACGTCAGCAGGGCGGAGACCCACGGTGGCTCTCGCACGGAGCGAGAGTCACTGGAGGGGGGTGTTTCAGGGAGCGAGGGGGGAGAGCAGACAGCACCCGTTTGCTTTGTGGCGCTGTATTAAAATGTAAAGACTGGAGCTGAAGAAAGTTCCTTTCCGAGGAGATCTCCCTCGTGCCAGGGTCTGGGGGCACCCCCTGTCTGGCAGTCAGGGGGGTAAGTTCCCAGAGGCACAGGGAATGTCTCCAGTGTGGCTATGCAAGTCTGATGCACCGCCCCGCCCCCCAGTCATGGCTAAGCAGAGCCTCTGAGTAACCGCTACAAAGGCTCCTAAGTCACTTAGGGCCCAGATCCTCCAAGGTATATAGGTGCCTGTCTCCCACTGATTGCAGTGGATGTTAGGCGTTGAGGTTCTGGGCCGCGGAAGCCTGAAGCCCACTGACTTTGGGACTCGGCACTTCTGAAAATGGGCTCAGATGAAATTGACCAAAGCACCCAAGTGATTTATGAGCCTATCTCTCATTTTCAAAAGCCCCGCAGGCACCTGGGAGTCCGTGTCACTGCCAGTCAATGGGGTTTTGGCTCCGAAGTCATTTGGAGGCATTTGAAAATTTCCCCTCTATCCATTTCCAAATGGGGTTTGCAAGGAGCTTGGGGCCCTTTCTTGGTGCGCGTGGGGCCTGGAGATGGGCTCTGACATGGTTCCGTTTGCCTTTCTGCCTGAAGCTCACCTGTGTCCGGAGCACAGTGTGAACGTCCAACCTAGGTGTGACTGTCGTGCCAGTTTGCATGCGCACTGGGCGCTGCGTTGGCAAGATTCCCGGAGCTTTGTGCACAGAGCAGCCGCCGATTGGCACGGCCGTCGTCTGCTCTTCTGGCATCTCTATACCCCCTGTTGATCCGGCATGTCATTGCAGAGACCTTTCCCTCTCCAGCGCCCGCCTCCTCTTCCTGATGCGGTGAAGTCACTGGCCGGCTGAGCACAGGGGGGTGGATATTGACAGCTCCGGCACAGAGCAGAAATGTGTCTGGCAGCCGGGGGAAGAGGTGGCTTTGGCAGCAGTATCTGATACGGGCCGCCCGTTGGGTGCGCACCTGTATGAGGGCACCCAGTCTGTCTCCGGACGAAGGTGAAAGGGACTCGGTTACTGCCCCGGGCGCTGCTGTTGCACTGATCTCTGCAATGCACTGGCAGATGACTGGGGGGAAGCTCAACAAACAGCTGGGGGCCAGTCCCCGGCTTTGGTGGGTGATGGAGAGGTGGCTTTTTCTGCCTTTCCCATTGCGCTCTTCCATGGTCTGGGAGCACAAGGATCACTGGAATGGGAAGCCTGGCAGGAGGCATCTGTCAATCACAGGTGCCTTGGGGCTCAGCAGTGCTGGGGAAGGAAAAACAGAGCCTGAGTTAAAGGAAGTGTTGGGGAAAGACGCCTGAGCATGCCGGGGGCTGTCTGGAAGCGGCTGGGCTGACTGGCTAGTCTAGTGAAAGGAGATAGCTGGGGATAAGGAAGAGCTTATCCATATGGAGGGTCTGTGGGCATTCAGACAGGCTCCCCCCCGTGCCACCTCCATCCCAAAGGGTCTTCCTTGTGAATGCTGGCTCTCTGCTTGCCACGGCCTCCCGCCCGCTCCTCCCCCTGGCCTTACCTGGAGGTTGAACTTGGTGAATGATGCATGAGGTTGTGTGACCCAAGTGCATGGGCCAGAGCCTTGTCTGGTTTTATCTGTCCACCCAAACCGGAGGTGGGGCTCTTTGCTTTGTGTCCGCTGGTGCCAGCCCTGCATGCAGGAGACTGATCTGCATGGCAGTGACAGAAACTGACCCACCCGAGCTTGTATTAATGTCCGTGCAAAACTCCGGCCGGGATCCAACCAACAAATCCAGTGGAGGGAGCAGTGACTGACCCACGTGTCCCACTGTGTCTGGCACTGGTTATAAGCCCGTCCCCTCAGAGCAGACTGGTGTCGGCATTGCCTGCATCTGCTTTAAGAAGAGGC